CTGTTGCGGGTTCACTCCCACTCCTGGTCCGGGCTCGTGCAGGAGGCAATCAGTAGATGTGTCTCTTTCCCATCCATGTTTCTCTCTCTTCCTCTCTCCCCCTCCCTCCCTTCCACTCTCTGAAAAGCAATGGAAAAAATATCCTCAAATGAAGATTTTTTTAAAAAGCACTAAATGTATATATAAGATATAGTGCTTTGAGTTTGACCCCAAATGTGATATGGGCCAATTCCTTCCTGAGTTATGTTAAAAGAAGAAAGGCTGACGGGCATGAGGCTGCTCAGCCTAAGGAGGCACAGCCCAGGCCTCCAGGTTTCAGAAGTGCAAGATCAGGACAGGCAGGTGGAAGCTACTGGAAATCAGATCGGGGCCCAGTGGGAAGAACAGCCAGTGCTGACAGAGATGGGCTGGGTGTCTCACGGGCACTGATCTCCCTGTAACCAAGAATGTTCCATGAGGTGCATGCTTCTTCATGATGTAACCAAGACATTGCTGTAAAAAGAGCATGCACTTTGGATGGGGCAGACCTAGATTCAAACTACAACCATGGCCTGAATTACAACTTTTCAGTTAACAATGGTCCACATATACAACGGCGGTCCCGTAAGATTATATACATGGCCTCGGCGGGTAGTAGGCTGTACCATCTAGATTTGTGTTTGCACAATGACAAAATGGCCCGATGATACATTTCTCAGAACATATCCCCGTCGTTAAGTGACGCCTGCGTCGCCTCTCTGAGCCTCCCCATTTCTTCTACAGCCAAATGAACCTGCGGACCTCAGGGATGGCGCATGCTGCCCTGGAAATCCCTGGGTGGCTTCTCGAAGCAGCCGAAGGACATAAGCCATTTATCACACTGAAATATCTCTCGGTTGACCCCGCTACCCTACCCTGTGCCCCAAGCCTGTGCCAATCTGAGAGTGCCGCATGCCGCCCACCCTGCCACCATCCAGCCTAGGAGAGGGCAAGGCAGCAAGAGAGAGAGGTGTCCTTCTGGTATGTTAGGGCGTGTCCAGCAGCAAGTAACAGAAAAATCCACCTAACGGTGTTTAACCCATGAGAATGGTTGCTGCTCACTTAACGAGAAATCTGAGACAGGTAGCCCCAGGGATGCTCCGATGCCTAATCATGTGGCCAAGAAACTGGGTTGGCTCTTTCCCCTCTGCCACCCTCGGGGCATCCACAGTGTTTTCCTGCAGGATCACAGGGCAGCTGCCCTACCTCCCACCCCCATCCTCGCAGGGCTGCTTCCAAGCGGGAAGGACTTTTTTTTCCTTGCATGTCTCTCTTTTCCCGTAAGAAGTCTCTTTCCCAAAATCTCCAGCCAACTTCTCCTTAGTGCATGACCAACTTGTCCGATTTGCCTGGTATTTTTCTAGTTAGTAATGAAATTTAAAGGTCCTAGGAACCCCCTTAGTCTTTAGCAAATTTAACCCTACTTGCATCCTATTGGCCAGATCTGGGTCACGTGTCTATCCCTGGACCAATCCCTAGAAGAGGGATAGAAGTATCCCAGTGGTTTGAACCAATCAGAATTCACCTCCTGGGAGACCAAGCCTGTTGCCATTTGAACTGCTCTGGGCTTCTGTGAGCGAGGAAGCAGGACGCCTGCGAGGTGGGCCCCTGCGGTGTCCGCCACGCTGGCACATATCAGGAATTAGCAGAATCCTGTCCTACACGAGGCTCCACTCCTCCCCCGAGCACATCGTCACTATCCTGCTGTGTGTGTGTGACTCAGTGTGAGAGAATTAGGAGCATGACAAGGATGTTGGGGGAGGGGGAGGGGTGGAGAATCGTCCCCAATACAGCCTTCCTCTGTGGTCCAGGAAAGCAGGTTTATTTGTTTTTTTAAAAAACAAGTTTATTTTTAATTTGACCTTCACGTGTCCTAGTTAGTGTGCAGTTCTCCAGGCATGGTCTCCAAATTGCCAGGTTTCAGGTCCTAATGAAAAAGACCAGATAACAGCTGCTCTTTCTCTGAAGCTGCCCCATCCTTTATCACTGTGTAGAGTCTGCAGAGGAGGGGACATCTGAGCAGAAGGGCGGAGCAGCTGAGTGCACGCTTAGGGGTCAGTCCCAGCCACAGCTCCTTGGGGACACTGGGGTTACCCACCCTCCTCACTTTCCTCTTTCCTCAGCTACACTCAGGACAGAACTGCCCTGAGTCTGATTTAGGGCCAACCTGACATCAAATCTCATGATTTGTGAGGTTCCAACCCCAGCCAGTCACTTTGTCTTAAAACTTTAAAGACAAAGATATTGATAATAAGTCACTTGTAAACCTGGCAATGGACATGGTGATTCATTCATTCATTCAAACAAGTATTTATTGAGCATCTACTATGTGCCAGGCACTGTGGTGTGCTGGGAAGCAAACGGTGAACTTGACAAATAAGATCCCCCACTTCAAGAAGCTGCCACTCTAGAGGTGGCAGACAGACAATAAGTAAGAATTAACACATACGTATCATCATCAGTAGTAAGTATAATAAAAAAATAAAGCCAGAGAAGGGGATGGGAATAGAGAATAGCTAGGTAGATGGGGGGCGGGGGTGCTCTTCTAGATCAGAGGTCTGCAAATTACTGCCTGCCAACTAGTTTTGTAAATAAAATTTTATTGGAACCCAGCCAAGCTCATTTATTTACATATTGCCAATGGCTGCTTTCACGCTACAATGGCAAGCTGAGTAGTTACAACAGAGATGCTGTGACCCGCAAAGCTGGAAATATTTATCTGGCCCTTCAACAAAAGTTTGCTGTCACAATGAGATACTATTTCATACCCACGCGAATGGCTACAATAAAAAAGACAATAGTGAGTGCTGGTGAAGATTTGAACAGACTGGAATGGAAATGTAAAATGGTGCCGTCGCTTTGGAAAAGTCTGGCAGCTCCTCAAAAGGGTAAACACCGATTACCATATGACCCAGCAATTCCATTTCTAAGTATGTACCCAAGAGAAATGAAAACATATGTCCACACAATAACTTGTACAAGAACGTTCATAGCAGCATTATTCATCCCAGCCAAAGAGTGGAAACAACCCAAACGTCCATCAGCGGATGAATGGATAAATAAAACATGGCATAGCCGTACAACAGAGTATTACCTGTCAATAAGAAGAAATGCAATTGTGATATATGCTACAATATGGGTGAACTGTGAAAACATCATGTCCCATGAAAGAAGCCAGCCACAAAGGACCCCATATTGTATGATTCCACTTGTAAGAAATATTGAGAATAGGCCAATCCATAGAGACAGAATAGATTAGTGATTGCCTAGGGCGCAGGGTTTCTTTTGGAGTGATGAAAATTGATTGTGGTGAGTAACATGACTCTGCATATACTAAAAGGCATTGAATTGTACACTTTAAGTGGGCAAACTGCATGGTGTATGAATTATATTTCAATAAAGCTGTTTTTAAAAGGCTTACCAACCTTTGCTGTAATCAGGGAAGGCCTCTGAGGAGGCGGCATTAGAGCCTCTTTTGTAATTGGCTCAAAGCTCTCAAACAGCAACAGGTGGCATTTTATCGAACACTTATGTGCCAGGCACTGTGTGAAGCATTTTACAATCACTGCATCATATAATCCTCACAATAATGGTATGGCTCACTTACGGATAACCTCATTTAACAGATGAAGAAACTGGAGCACAGAGAGGTTAGGTGACTTGCTTCAGGTCACACAGCTGATGACAGAACTGGGATCCAATTCTAGGTGTTTAACTTCAAGGCCTATGCCCTAACCTCTGAGACACACTGAACATAGTCCCCTGTCCAGTCTCTGAATTACTGATCTTTCCCAGATCAGGAAAATGGCCCAAAACAAGATGGAGATGGGGAAGAGCGCAGCCGAAAGGTAGGAGAGAGCAGGCCAGGTGCAGAGGAGAGCGATGAGATGCTCAGGGGGGTCTCTGGGCTCAGCGAAGGGCCTCCCAGGGGGAGCAAGACGCTAACACAGTGCTTCCCAAACTTTAGAGGCAGAGAAATCACCTAATGCAGGAAATGGGAGGAAGGCTTATTTAAAATGCAGATTCCCGGGCCTTACTGCCAGAGATTCTGATTTCGTGGGTCTGAGTTGGGGACTAAAAACCCAGTATTAACCAACTCCCTAGGACAGTCTAATGCAGATGGTCCAGAGACTACTGTGAGGTCTCTTGCAGAAACTTAAGGTCAGCACAAGGCTCTTCCAGGTGTCCCCCCCAATTTTGGCGTTTCTTTTTCCATTCCTTCCCGATATCCCATATTCCTGGCTCTCCTTCTCCCTGTGCCTCCCAGAGATCCCCACTGAGCATTTCCGGCCTCCTGGGCTCTGTTCCTGCTCTTTTTTCCACCTGGCGTGATCTTTCCGATCTCCCTTTGCTCTGCCCCATCTCCCTCAGGAGGCTTCATCACATCTCCCCTTCCTTAGCCTTCCACCCCACAAGTGCTCATCTTTTGGGAGTGTGATGAAGTATCATCTCTTTATGAAACCTTCCCTAACCATAAGCGAGTTTCCTTACCGCATCTGTAAAACGAGGGTGAAAGTAAATGAGAATTTGTAGGCAGGGAGCATCGCAGGCCCTCGATAAATAGTAGGTATTCTTTTTAGACTGTTTGACCTTGGGCAGGTCAGCTCCTGTGTCCCTAAAATGGTTAGAGTTCTTGTGCCAAGCACTGTACTAAAATACACAATAACAAACCTATTATTACTGCCATTTTACAGCTGAGGAAAGCGAGGCAAAGAGGGATTAAGAAATGTGTCCCAGGTTACCCAGCTAGAAATTGGCACTACTTGGATTTGAACTGAGGCATCAGGTCTTTAGCTCTAATCATCACGTTATACTGATGTTCACTGTTGGGCGGTTCCAATGAGAACAAATGCCAGGACTCTGGCACAGGGCCTGGCACGCGGTAGGTGCTCAATAAATGCTGGAGACAAAACTGAATGGAAAGTTTTCTACATCCAGGGAGAGGGGGGACAAATGACTCAAAGACTTTACCGATCATGATGTCTCATGCTTTTTATTTAATAAGACTCAACATCTTAAGATGTAAAAATTCAGGAAAAAAAATCAGAATGTTTTCCCACGCAAACCTACTTCAGTGGGGGTGATTGTGCGCTTTAGCTTCAGAACATCAAGAGGGTGCAGAGATGTTGGAGAAGCAGGAAGGGTTCAGGGTAGTTGATCTGGTCCCAACCAGCTTCTGAGTCTCTCTGTCACTCTATATCGTTGTCACTTCAAATGAACAACTGGGAGAGAGTCAATCTAAGGAGGAATCAGGAGATGAAATCCCTGGGTGTTATTTTCCAATCAAGGTGCCACATGGAATGGAGACTCCTCCTTCCCGACTCCAAGTGCTTTCAATTCAGGTCATTAATCTCCTCCGAGTTCCCCACAAAACTTAGGTAGACCAGAAAGCCCCTCTTTTGAGGCCAGGTTTCCCCACAGTCAGACAGGTTTCTGCCTGAATTGCACCACTGGGGCAACCCTGTGGGTCATGTTCCTTCCAACACAGATGAGCCCTGAAAACATTATGCTAAGTGAAGCCTCCAGTCTCTGTCCCCTTTCCTACCGCTTCCCAGCTTTTGGTGGCTCAGAAGTCAAGAAGACAACAGCGAAAAGAACGCTGGACAATTCCGCTGATTGACCCCAAACCCGAAACCTCAGGATTAACCCAAATCTCAGGAAAAATAAACAAAGAAACAATTCCCGACAGGATACAAAAGATAACAGGAGTCACCGCCGGGCGAGACTAAGAGGCTTTCCGAAAACGGACCACTTTCTGAAACGCTCGCCGAAAGTCTTCGTTGAACACAGTGTAGATGACCGGGTTGATGAGGGAGTTTAAATAGCCCAGCCACGTGAACAGGTCAAAAAGGGCCGGGTGGATCCAGCACGAGTCCCGGCAGATGGGGAGGACCAGGGACACCACAAAGAAGGGCAGCCAGCAGATGACAAAGGCGCCCAGAATGACGCCCAGGGTTTTGGTGGCCTTCCTCTCGCGGGCCGCGGAAATCCGCTTGCGCTCCAGGGCGCTGTCGGCAAGCTTGATCCTCACCTGGCTGAAGAAGAGCGCGGAGCCGGCCAGGTGCCCGTGCCCG